GTTAATCAACCTCTGTAAACAGTTAACAAGACCTGGCCTGAGAGAAGAAACAGGAGGACACCACAAAACAGTGTAGCAAGGAAATACCAAGAGAAGCACAAGAAAACAAGGCCGCTGATAAAGCCGAAGTGAGAATCACTTGAACCATGAGAGAACTATCCCAATTAACACAGTAAAAACCACACCCCCAGCAATGAAGGCCCCGGCCCAAGCAAAGACCCCTACCCACTGAGCATGCTCTGTAAATTTAAAACACACTGTACCTTTAAGTGGAGACGAGGCTTGTGAGAACCAGTAGAAGCAAGGATGAATAAGCGGAATTGTGAAAATACTGATAACAGCTACTCAGAATGTATAAAATGTCACTGTATGTTAACCGCGGTGTGCTAGCTTTGTGGAGTTACCACCTAGCACCCATCTCTGCGCAGACATGAAATAAACAAATATCTCGACTCTGTGTGTCATTTGTCTTTTTGCACACCGGGTAAAAGAACCCTACTTTTTGGGACAACACATAGGCCCAAATTCTGATTCACATTTGGTACAACTTTAGATGGGGGAATAAATGGAAGGTCTGACTGCCCTGTACTTCTGAGAATCAGGGCTCCAAAATTCAAGCACATTAGACCATCCAGTGAAACTATGGCTGAATCAGAAACAGAAAGCAGGAGTCCTGGCTTGTGATCAACTCCCTGTTCTAACAACTCCCTCAAAAACAAATTTAGGAAAGCACTTTCCCTCTTTGACATTGAAGTTAAAAAGGTCAAACTGTCTGCTCCTACGTGGGTGTGAAGGGCTAAGAGGACACAAGGGGGTTTCTCTACATCCTGGTTATGATGTGCGTGTGAGAGTACATGCATAGAAAGGCAGCTTATCCTCTTCATTGGAGGCAAAAGCAAAAACTAACGTAGAAAATATGCTTTATCTCTTAAGTGGTGGCTCTGCTGATGACAGTAGCTTCCTCCTAGCCTGCCCCAGCCCTCAGAGCTGGATGTGTATTAGGTAAGAGTGTGCATACTATCATTCTAAATTACTGTGGGAGCCATAACAGAAAGCTTATCAATCACTATCTTGCAATGGTACTGATCATTCTGAATTCCTCATAGTCCTATGAAAAACTGGGCTAAAGGGAAGCAATTTTATATTTTTTACATTATTTTTAAGCATTTAGGTTTCAAGGCATAAAAAGCATAAAAATTAGCACATAGTAATTAAGTATAAGTAAGGCTTCTGAGTACCCCGAGTTATTTAGTCTTCCATAAGAGACTGGAATTAAGTCTTCCAAGGTCACCCAATACCAGCACTGGACACACTGCAGTACCCCATAAAATTCTAAAAATACAGATATTACTAAAGCATGGCTCTTTTACATGCTTCCTTAAAGTTGTTCTCCAATGGCTAAAATGGATGTACGTATGAATAAAGGAAAAAGAGTGTGTGTGTGTGTGTGAAATGCCTTTTAACTTTTCCCCTCAGTCAGATAAAAAACAAGGTAGCAAATGTAATTCAGTCACTAGCAATAAAACCATGACAATAACATACTGACCCTGCTGCTATCCTGCTGCAATGAAGAACTCCTGCTCCTGACAAGGGGTGGTAGCACTGATTGGTAATCACAAAAAGGATGCACCTCATATACTGTAATTCTATCACACATTCTCACCTTGTAAAACAGCAGAATATATCCAGTCTCCTGTCTTCCCGACGATAAAGGTCCATGCTCAGGATAGCAGGAAAAATCAGCAAAACCATAGCAAAGTTGAATACCACCACAACTGCTGCCTAGAGATCAATCATAAGAGAAGTGAAGTCATTACTAAGCTTCATTTATGGCATTGGCTTTACAAAGCATAAAGCCTCCTTTCAATTCTCACCCATCCACCCATTTATCATGTTTACTCATGAGACCCTTTCAAGCTTTTCCCTGAGGTAACTGGGAGGTATATTTTTACATCCCAGTTTCATTATGGTAGGCCTACTGTAGTTAATTAATTTCTTTTAATATTAACCTTCATATTATTTTAATGTCTCTATACCTAGAGATGTGGTGGCACCAAGATTTTTAAAGTGGAAAAAACAAGAGTCGTCAATAAATTACATTTTTATATGAGATTCTGCCCTATTTAGAGTCTCACCATACAAAAAGATGGAAGCAAAAGCAAACCTGGAACTAGGACTGAAGTTCTCACATTTAAGGGATCTGAAGTAATTTAAGTACCACAATAACATTAAAGCACATTATTAAATCAGTAATGAAATAAAGGTTTAATTACATTTTAATGAAACCGCTCTATTTAGCAAAACACTATGCATTTGATGTACTTAAAGTCTAGCAAAAAAGAGTAAAATTTTGGGATTATCTGTTGAACTCTCCTGCTTGTGTTTAACAGAACTTGATTAATGAGCCAGTCTACCAAAATGAGTCTAAAATTGGAACAAGAATAGTCAAGTTAATTTGAAAAGTGATCGTTATTTAAAGAAAAACAACAACCCCCCCTTCAAACCATAACCCTTTCCTACACAGAGATTCCCAGAGAATCTCTATAAACATATGTGGTGCAGAATCTATCATTATTGTTAATGGTATTTATTTGCAATAAAACACAGCTAAGATCACTAGCCTTACAAAGGGAAAACTTGGGCACAGATGGGTTTGGAAGACAGTAGTAGAATAGTAAAGATAAGGATAAGTCATTGAGGTATTTTTTTTTCCCCAAAAAATGGAAAAAAAATAGTTGAGCCATCAACAGATAAAAAAAAAGGAAACCCTTCTATTTTACTCATTATATAATCACTAGGCATCTCTATAGTAGCCCAGTTTCAGGCTGAGGAAAACATATAAATTATCAAGTGCCTCCACCTGTAACTTCTGAAGTAAACACCACTTGGGTTCAAACAATCAAAAAAAGGACTAAAACTGGATTACACAAATTAAGTGCCTGATGTAAATGAGCCTTCCTTTTTCCAACACAGATCAATGGCTGCTTTTGATGTTGAAAATCAGCCCTTAAAATTGGCAACTCAAAAGATGAGATATTCAAAATTTATGTTTTAAAAATGCTCAACTTATGTGACCCTAAATAATGCAATTTTGTATTTTTGTGTCTCTTATCTGTGAAAATCAAAGTAGTAACCTACTGAATGATTTTTAGGGTTTTGAAGCTGTAAAGTATAATAAAAAGACTATTCTTGTTTTTACTTTTCTGAGAATGACAGAATCAGTTATGTATGTAAACATTTTACAGTTATTTCAATCATAAATATATTGTACACAAAAGTAGTTCTTACTGATGTTTCTCTTTTGTTGTCTCCAGCCTGCTTAAAGCAAGATTTTGGTCCTGCTGATTGGCTGGAGACATAACTAATAAAACAGTTTATCTAGTGTTTAAAGCCTAATTAGCATTTAATCATTACTTCAATCTTTGAGAGAAAAGATCCCATGACCATTTCATGATATATGAATATCGACACAGAAAGGTATGTATGGTCATAGACAAGACTTCAAAGTTAAGTGATTTCTTTTTGACTGAATCTGTCAGGAAAACAAACAGCTGCTGTTGCAAGCAAGGTGTATGTTGCACCTAGTTCATACAACCGCTCTCTTATCGCTGCTAAACCAGTGAAAATTGAATCACCCATAAATCATGAGTAATTAATTGTGTTTAACCAAGAGCTTCCATCAAGGATCAGCTATGAATTGCTGAGATTTGGAAAAATCAGCTGAGACCTGGTCTAAGAATTCTTATACCTCTCAGCATGCCTGAAAAACTAACTGAAGTCCTCTAGTTCTGCTCACTTCTATAAACACTTCCTGCCTTATCAGTTCTTTGTAGACCCCAGCGACCTTGAATCCCAAATGTCGCTAAACCCAAAAACTAATACTTAAATGCATGGCAGAGATGCCATTAGTTCTATTTACATTTGATTTTTAAAGGAGAATTGAAAGTATCCCAGAAACACATAGTAAATCTACCTATAAACATGGCATCTCTTTTTAGAGCAACTAGATTTTCCATTGTGCCATACTGGTGTTGATGTTCTGATCCTGCAAGTCAAATATTTCTAAACAAGCCTCTCTATCCTGACTTGTATTTCAATGGATTCCTATAGCTTAACACCACACTTCCTATATATATATTATACTTTCTCTCACTCACCCTCCACCCCAACATCTCAAGGACATAACGTTTCAGTTTTCACAATTAAATACAGAAAATATTGTTTGTATATCAATTCAAATTTGTTGTCTCATCAAAAAACCCCCCGTGAACTGATAAGGTGCAGTGTGCCTTCCAGTTCCTGCTGTACATCCCTAACTCCAGGGGCACTTGGAAGTGAGTGAGACAAGGGAAGGAGAAGTGGTTTGAGATTCAGATTAGTAAGGGGGGAAGGAAGAACTGTTGAGGAGTGACTGAATCTCTGACTTGATGCATCAGCCACCACCTTCCCTCCCCAATACTATTTAGAAGTCTGGTGGCTGGGAATGGGAACATATGAAAAAATGTGATCTTAATCTTGGCAATATCTGCAATCTGCAATGGTGACATTGATTAGAAAAGCACCAACAAAAGTCTGTGGTAGTAGATCTCCCAATGTACAGGCAATCTGCTAGCAGCACCTGAGCTGAGAGCAAGCAGAGGATTTCTGGGAACAGGCAGGGCATCTTCTTTCACACTTTCAGAGAGGAATGGTCAAATAGGAGAGGAAAAGAACTCAAGCCTTTTCCTTGAAAAATCAATAAAGGCAAGATTAGTACTAGAGCAGGAAAAAAAATGGGGCTTACTCAAAGGTGTTAACTGAAGGAGTTCAGTGAAATGAGAATATCAGAGAGAAGTAAAAAAAAAATAAATCCATTAAGCAGACAAAACTTGATTACTTTCTGAGAAACATGCTATGATTTTGCATTTTTTAATAATGCACAGCCTAAAATATTATTGCTGTTGCTGCAACTGTTAACTGAAACAAAAGAATGACAGTCTGTGTTGAAGGCAGCAAGGAAGAAGCGAGCCAGGATGACAGACTGAGGCCCTGACAAAGGTATATGCTGCTATTTGCCATTCTTGGCAGCCCATCCAAGGAGACTGGGTATGCTGTATAGCCAGAGGTGCTGAACAGATTAGGAGGTCTGTCAGGGAAACTTCCACACTACGCTGCCTATCTGCAGCTCCCTCCTGACAACATACCGACTCAGATTTTCCCCGCCTCTTCTCCTTAGGCTTTATTTTTTGCTTGTTAAATATCCATATCAGAAGCAGGGAAAGATAAAAGACTTGGGTAAGAGGGTAAGAGGAAGGAGACAGACCACTTCAGCAGAGCAAGAAAATGAGTGAGCTTAAAAACTTATATTCTTTCTCTCCCCAAACCTACCACCACCACCTGGTAATCACTTTTATATTTAGGAAAAAAAGTTATCATTCCTACTATGAGGAAAATAAAGTTACTGCTAAAACTTATTGGGTGTGATAGGTTGACCCTGCCTGGATGCCAGGTGCCCACCAAAGCCTCTCTATCACTCCCCTCCTCAGCTGGACAGGGGAGAGAAAATATAACAAAAGGCTCATGGG